TCACTCTAACACTAGTGGTCTAGAAAGGGGGTCCAAATCTTTTTAAAGTTTCTTAAGGAGGTGTAACTGATTTTCTCAAGTTTCAGAAAGTGCATGGTTTCTCTTATCCATCTGGGAAAGGTAGGAGGTGCTTGTTCCTTCCAGGAGAGAAGAATGAGACTTCTTGCAATCAGGGAGGTGAATGCTATGACTACACCAGCTTTGCCTTTAAGGTCGCGAGTTTCAGGGGTCCACCAGTTTTGCTTTGGTTGAATGTGCTTGCAAAACAACTCTTAGTTGTATCAGGCTGTGCCTCACAAAAGCAGAAGAAGAGTATACTAAGTTAAGCACCAGTATAATATTGACTTTAAATTACAAGCCCAATAGTAATAAATGAAATTGAGTAGGGCCAGGCTGGCAAGTTGTGTGTTAAATAACATAAAAAAAATAACATTGCATGTTTTCTATGTGTCACATGGAGCCGACCATCACAGAAGAAGGAGGAATTGTATTCATAGTCTTACAATACTCTGTGTTTAGATTTATACATTAAGTGTTTGTCAGACAATGCACTGTATAAAATATGCAAGGCCATAACAACACAACAATGAGAGAGAGAGAGAGAGAGAGAGAGAGAGAGAGAGAGAGAGAGAGAGATATCCTTAAGTAAATACATTCAATGTGACTACACCTGGGGGGTTCCACACAGTCATTATTTTAGGGTGTGGAAAATGTGCCTACCCGGTTGTCTTGGAGAAAGGAGGAAACTTCTCTGGGTGAAAAGAAAACCAGTTTCTGTATGTTTTATTCAGATTTGGAGTTTAGCAGGGAAGAGCATCCTATACCTGAGTTCAGTGTTTCTCAGCTGCATCTTCAACACAAGGTGTATTGGATTGACTTCTTGCTTTTACCCGTTTATTACCAGCCTTTTGCGCAGGTTTTGCAAAGGTTAACTAAAGTGAATAAAGCACTTTCAATTCGGATTTAGTCCGAATTTTCAACAGAGCTCTCTCAGTGTACGACCTACTCTGCCATTCGCCAAACCGAAACATAAAAATGTTTTAATAAGGGCGAAGCGTAAAAGTTTGTTGTTGATATCTGATACTTGCCTGTATGTAACAGACGATTTGAAGTTGACATTAACACATTGATATTTAACTAGTTTTAAACCAAATCCAACTTGCGTCTGCTGCCATATCAGACATAATCAAAACTCTACTTAGCGCTTCAGCTTGAATGCCTCATGTCATAAATAAGCATGTGTGTTTTGTTGGATGTTGTAACAGTACGACACTAAACAACAGTAGTGAGTCACACCTTGTAGATTCTCCTCCAGTTCTTCTTGCTATCTCTCAACATGCGGGCCCACAGCATGTTCATCACCTCTGGAAACTGCTCATACATGAAAGTGGATCTGATCAAACAAGACAAAGAGGGAAACGTTTTTGTTTCAGTATTTTTGTAATTATCTTTTTATTTTACAGCCTTTGACAAATAACTCCAAATAACTGCAGAGCCCCATGAACTGAACTAAGGATGCATTTCAGGTAATACAGGCTCCTCTAGCGTATTTGTGTATCTCACACAGGCCAAGAATACTTAGGTCAATAAAGGATTAAATAGTGATAAGGATACATAAGGATACATGGTGATAACCATGTATATGTCACTTTGCTTCAGGTCATTGTCTTTCTAATTTACTGCTTTGCAACAACAATCTCTGAATTAATGTAGTAACAGAGACAAGCAGAAAACAGTCTGGAAAAACACAGACAACTGACAAAGGTCAGGAAATGTTTCAAAATGGCAATGGTCCTCTTATCATTTTGTCTGCTTCTTTATCTAGTTTTATTGTGTAACCATTATAATTACTAATGACAATGTTACCATGTTAAATGTATGTAACCTATGTTTAGTTTCTGTGAATCTCTCTCTGGTCAGCTACATAATTAATGTTTAACTGTCACTAACAACAGAAGAATACAAAGTTCTAATCTCTGCCTGAATACAGATAATAAATCCAGTGCTTATGTTGTAACATTTGAGGCTTATTTTTATCCATGCCAGCGGTACGGTAGTGTGTGGCAAGCAAAACAATTACAACCTTCAAAACAGGGACTTTTGTGGTCAGGGCCCCTGAACCAACACTTAAAATAGGCTCATATAGTTTAGACGTAGGTTGCCTTCCAGAGCGCCAGAAAATGTTCCTGGAAAAGTTGCTGCAGTCGTAAAGGGCTTTAATGTAACCTTTCGGAGGTTTTATTTTATTTGCTATTGACCTTGGTTATTTTTAGCATGACATGTTGTGTAAGACACTGTGTTTTCCTTACCTTGAGATTTCATTCATCAGCTGTCCTGATGGTCCCCAGGGGTCGTCATTGGTGGCCTCTCTGACTTTAGATTCTACCTCTGAGTAGTTCATCACCACATTGGTTCTGTACAGTGGAATAAAAAACAACATAATGTTGGAGATTTCAGTTCAAAGTAAGTGTCCTTCAGTGAGATCTGCAGTATGGGTGATAATAGGTAACAAGTTCTTTCATCAAGCAATGGCCATTTCCATGACCAGAGAGAGGAAACTATCACTACCAAATATAGCTATCTAACAATCTCAGGTTTGACAAAGAGTTTGTTTTCCAAAACACTAAGCATCCATATTTCAGGAAGGTTTATGGAAAAAAAAAAATACACTGCTATGTATACACCATGTGATTTACAAGGCTGGTTTGGCAGCCTGTGAGTGTGAACAATAATAATGAAACAACAAACTATGACAAAACAACTGATGTATGTCCTCACATATGTTTTTATAACTAGCACCTAAACTAACCAAACAAAACTATTGTTCTTTTAATCAATAATTTCACTTGAATTTATAGATACAATTTTGAATTTTATTTTGACAATTTAATTCATGTGTCATGTATCATACCAATGACTTGATAATCTAGCCCATTCTTTATATAAGTGTCAGGTGTTTGACAGATCAGTGTATTCACTTCACCTCAAACACATTGCCTTAAGAATAATGCCACTTTTCCCTTGGGATTTTTTTTGTTTCTCCCGCTAATAGCCTAAATATGAATTGTTTGTTACAGGAATGCAGAGGTTTTATCTAGAGGCATCTTATCCCAGTTAATCTTGTAAGCCCACATCTTTAGCCAAAACATGGCAAGGAAAAATATGTGAAAGCTGCAATTCCTCATCCTTCCTTGACTACTGCCACATCAGCAATAAAATGTACAGGGCCTGGAGGAGCCGCATTGATTTGATGGTAGCGTTAAGAGAGGTACACCCTCTTTGTGGTTATGGGGAATGGGCTGTACTACTACAGCAAGCTGCAGGGTATATCTAACACTCTGACAACACTCTAGTTTTGTCAAATTTGCAAGTCGAATCAAAGGTTAGAGTCACTCTATGTCTCTTCTGATGAGTGTGTTCTTCATATCACACTCAGTTCAGACCTGGATCAGCATTTTTTTAAGTCAGGTTTCATTTATATTCATATAGCATTGATGAGTTGGATTACTTTGTGTGTGCTCTGTTATTATCTGTGTATAACCCCTGGCAATGTAAGGGGTACTACACAATGTTTGCATGACTGACAAACCAGAGGATATGATGTAGTGATGCAAAAGATTAACTCTTCTCAGTAGTAGCTCCTGTCCTAGTTATCAGCCAGATAAAACGGAAGCTGTGAGACGCTCTCACAGCGACACACTATCACACAGATTTCCGTTAAGATACGGCAACGTTCTGTCAAATCATTTCCCTTTAGAGTTCAGCTGCTAAACCCAAGAGTATTTTATTCTTCACTTGTAGAGTGTAACTTGGCATCTTAAAAGACACTACTAAATGAAATGTATTATTATTATACATGTTATTTTCATTTATTGTAAGGCCTATTTAACACAGGATATCATGTACACTTGCATCACCCTACCTAAACAAAAGCCTGTGCTTAATCATACAACAGTAAGTACAAATGACTCACTCACTGTCGTGACATGTAGTGAAAAGTATTCAAATATGTGTCAACACAAATAAAGTGGTCATTTCTTACGTCTTAAAACGCCATGCACTTTCATCACAGGCAATTTCAAAGACACCCTGAGGAAAACAAACATGCAGACTCCCTTCCCTTTAATTGTTGAAATTCACACCATTTCTTTATCTTTCTAGGTCTGCCCCCCCCCTCTCTGGGTCTCCTATGTCCCCAGATGTCACACTCCAGGGAGACAAGTGTTTTTTCAGCAGGAATGCAGTCTTGAACCAGCTTAAGAACACGCTATTGTTAGGGATGGAATAATTAGCCATTGAACCTTAGAAGGGAGTAGAAATTGTACAAAAGCCATACCACAGCTTTACAGTACAGGACATCATGCTCACGTTTAGTCAGCAGCTAAAATGTAACTAGGGTGTAGAGCAGAACAATGGACACACAGGCCCAGAGGTGTTGCATAAGTCCAGTGCTGGCTGGTAAATAATTTCAGGTACTATATTACTGCAGCCAACCTGCACTGCCCTCAGAGACTATGCAAACACTAATCATAAGTGTACAAGTACCAATGACTCACAGTGTAAATGTGATATTATTTAGGACTTTGTTCATGTTTTACCCCATAATAAAATCACCATTTAATCAAAACTTGTGTACCTGACATGACAAGTTTAACTGAGAAATTGACCTAAAAGCTTAAATAAAAGTTAATTCTTGCACCAACAAGCAGAGAAATACCCAGGATAATAGGGCTGGGTAATATG